CCTTTCTGTGGGCCCGGCCCGTCTGCCCCCTTACTATCACTTTGTGCTCCGAGCCGCGCCAAAGTGTTCTTTTGACGAGCAGCTGAAGCTTATGAATAAATGTAACACGCGGGAAACGCGCTCTACGGTTGACGGGATTCACAAGATGACAGGTATTCAGGCACTGGCTTAAGACGAGCAGATAAAATGTGTGCCAATGAGTTGGAACCAATTTGAATGGCTTCGTACGAGCATTTCCAAGAGAATGGCGTGTCTCCGACCTTAGAACGAGGACATTCACGTAAAACATCATTTAGTTATTTTAATGCATTTCACACCAAAGTACACGAACAATTTTATGCCATTCAAAATATGTACGCGTTTCAACTTTTAGAATAACTATAAACCGAATAGCGAAATTCACCCGCGTTTGTTTATCTATAGGCTCCAGCGGTTAAGGAACAAAGTAACTACTCGCGCCCACCTCCGCTTCCCACTGCTGCGTACCCGCCCCCGCCCTATCTCTGCTCCTCCCTGCTTCAGCTGCTCGCGTCACCCGCTCCAGTCTGACATTGCACTCCGCCGCACCTCGCCTTCCCGCCACTCGCCCCTCCGCGCCACGCGCCGGGGGCACGACCCGCTGACGGGAGGCGCGAGAACAAAGGGTGCAAAGGCCGAGGGGTTGCACCGAAAGAGTAAGTAAGACACGGATACCCTGCTCTCATTACATACTCTTACGCGAGGGCTGTTACAGAAATGAAACTCTTCTAGCCCATCTTGTTGAATATCTTGTAATGTGCACGTGACAAGTTCATAATCATTAGTCCGGGAATCACATGAAGTAAACTTAATGAAAAATAAGACTGCTTTTGTTGTCTCGTTTTTATGAAATGTATTCATTTATAAGTTAATTTTGATGTAAATGTAAAGTGGGATAATAAATGGAAACTGTTTGCTCATACAAGATGAGATTCGAAAAAATTAGCAATTTAAGTTCTTTACTGGCATAAACGAACACATCACAAGGTATATTCTCATAACAGTGGTTGTATCAACATACACCTCCGAGCATCTTATTTGACGTCAGATATTTTCAAACTCCTCGCCTTCCAAACAAACTCGCTTTTTTGAGTTACCACATTACTGCAGCAAACGAGACGTAAATGAACAGTAAGCCCGCAGAGGCACGTAATTGAACATCGCAGCACCGTCGCCCGCAGACGGCTCCCCGAGGGCGATTGTGTACGTCCGCGGGGCGTCGCCCGTTGTGACGGGCGGTGGCGCGGCGTGGCGCATTGTCGCTCGGGGCCACGCAAGTGCGACGCCACTCGACGCGACGCCCCGACGAATAATGGGAGGTGCGGGGACAAAGCGCGGCGCGAACGAGGATTCCACGTTCGAGGGGCTCCACGCAGTTGGAGGCGGCTGGCGTTATAGGAGCACGAGAATATTACTGAGCATGTTTATCAGAGCCGAAAATTGTTTTTCTATTATATGAAAGAGACAACTCGGGAAAGTTGCTCTTCCACACGAGGTAACTTTCCTTAACCGAATGCAACACAATCCCCGTAGATTAAGTCACAAAAAAGAACAAATTCTTCAAAAACATGTGGTGACGAAAAAAAAAACAACCAAAGAAATAGAATGACACTTGAAACTTTGTTTTGAAGGAACACTGTTGCGTAGTCTGAAATCTCATCGCTATTCTGATCGTCCTCCTGGCGTAGCAGACAGGGGCGAGCAGGCACCGTCCTGCGTGCATTTCTAAGTAGCCGGATTAACAACCAGTCTCCAGATTTAACTAAGCGATGGGTGGAATTATGAAAACAAAACCATCCAAGGCTACACAAACACACACACACACACACACACACACACGACAGCGGACGTCACGTACCCTAATAATTCACGAGGTTCGTGCCTCATTCTGCAAATCCTAAAAGCCCCTCTCGGGCACCCCACACACGTAGGTGGCGCCCAGGGCTGCGAACAAAGGAAGGGCGTTGCCCCGCCGCGAGAATTAAATGATGGCGCTGCGGTCCACTCACGTTCTCCCTTACGGGGCAGTAATTCCGTCGTGTTAGTGATGCTTACCGCCTCGGACAAGGCGTCGTAAACACGACAGGAGTAATCCCTTAGTGGATCTACGGTCTGGAAAGGAAAGGGCAGTCTCACGAGGCAACTGAAAACCGTTCGGTTTGCAAACCCTTCGGCTCATTTTCATCCTTCATACTATTCTGAACATCCGTAACTGAACATTTATGAAGAGAACTTAACATTCATAGCGTGTTTGACGATTGGAGATTTGAGCTAATATTTAGGAAACGTATTTAATTATATAAAAAAAATGTTACAAAAAAAATCAATCGCGAGAGGTAGCGTTGATGTTCCCCTGCTGGATAGCGGACCCATCGCCGACCTTCGTGTCGGCCAACGGGATTTTCCCACCCAGGGATCACCACCATTAGGCCAACGCCCTATTTGGGGCATGTTCTAAGCTCCCGTCATGTGTGGTAGATTAGCGTGGTGACGTTTAGAGGCACGACGCAAGGCCGTCAGTGTCGTATACAAGAGGCCAAAGAGTATGACCAGGTGTAGCAAGTCTCCCTTCCACTGTCACAGGATAACCGCGATACGCCAGCACCCCTTTTAGATCAGTCTCTACGGCGTTGGTTGGGCTCGCAATCAACGCTTGCTCAAAAACAATATTACTTAGGACAGTCAGAAAGTAGTGCGTTTTATTTCTTTCTGCTTATATAAAAATAGTTAAGTGAAGAAAATGAATGTGGCACTAATCCTCAAACCTTCCTCTACAATCCACCACAATAGTACCTTTCTGCTTCAACATGTGGCAGCACAGCAGTCGCTTAAAAGTGGCCGACATCGCTGTTCGTACGAGGCAACATTGAGTGCCAATTCTTGAATGCAAAAGGTGAAATGTCCCATTCACAAAAGACTGAAAAATTGTGACGCAACAGTGGGAGTCTCCACTGTTAGACGATGGGTTCGTCGCTGTGTGAGCGGAACAGGACCGCCCGCGAATGCGGCAATCCAATTAACAACTGCGCGAAATTCCATCCGCCAGTGTGCTGTGTGCTGTGTGCTGTGTGCCGGGCGGGCGGGGCGGGGCGTGGCGGTCATCTACATAGCGCGGACATATCGGGGCCCGCGAGTATGCGCGGTGACATGGAGCAATGAAATGGCCGCCGCTTTGTGCCGCGGGGCGGTGGTCAGAATGGATGGGGTAGGGGGAGGGAGGGGGACTGTACGGGGGAGAGAAGGGTGTGGGGACGGGGAGGAGGCGACTGGCGCTTGAGTGGAACGCACGGCGGCTCGGTGCGAAGCGGGTGCCGGAAAGTCCAGGCTTGGTGGTGCATTGATTACTTCACTGGCAGTCATGAACGACGTTGATTTTCTTGATATTCCTCCAGGCTAATGTTTCATGTAATAATAAAATAGAACCAAGAGGATAGATCCATATGGAGACCATATGGATAGACATTACTTCAGGCTGAACGTCGACTACCCGGAACCTGACTTAAGTAGTTGAAAGTTTTACAGTTTCACCTCCAGAATTTCAATTTGATGCATTTAAAAATGGAAACAATTCTGCCGTGGATATCCTTCCATACTTCATTTCCTCTTCTCATTCCAAAACATTTCAATCAACAGCGTGATCTACCAGATCAGTGGTGAAGCTGAAGGTCCGTGACCCCCCCCGCCATATCTTTCTTATTTTTATGAAATTTGCTGTCGTTATCTACGCGTATAGCAATCGAGCGCTAGGAGTTGCCTGAAGGGCTGCACTATCCTGCATTCGTATGATTTTCTACGGCCACACGTGATTCAATTTATTCATCACGGTTTGAAATAATGTCTCATTTTCGTAAGTGGTGATGCGTACGTGGAAAAATAATGCGACGTATATGCACTGTATCTGTCTAACATATACAAATTTCCAGGGAAGTGTGTTTTTTTTTGCATGACCTTGAGAACGCTTCCATTCCTGGATGCGCCCGGCACTATTTCAATCTGGTAAGAGACTATTTAAATCAATAGTTTTTCGATGCTATGTTTGTTCTAATACGCTAATATCAATTGCAACACAAAACAGCTTATTATAAACATAAAAAGGTA